TTTTGGCAAATGAGAGATACTAAACGGTACTGGACTCTTAGCGGGGGCACCCGATTTTTCCTAGCAATCCCGGACGGCCCTATAGCAAAATACAAACCAGTTTTACAGCTTTTCAAACCGTTGTTAGATATCAACGGGCTCATTAAAAAGGATTTTGAAACCCTTCAAAATCCGAAAATTTTGACCTACCTTTGACCACGATTAGTCGGAAAAAGGAGGGAGGCTCCCCCCGCTAACCGTCCAGTACCTGCCAAACCACCCAAAATCGATTGGAAAATCGATAAGACTAGAACCAAGTATCGGCTTATTAAAATTTGCTGTTTAGTCCCTTAAAATACCGTAGACCGCCGAACGTCTAAAATATTACAAGTAATACCAAACTATGGTATAATTGTTTTAGAAAAGATCTATAATAGTTAAATCTACTATGAACATCTCGTAATACCGACCTAATACCCTTACTTAAAATAAGCGTAGCAACAATATCTAAAAAAATTACCAGATACGCCAAACTACCTAAAACTCTATTTTTTTTTTTTAAAGATCGGTTTCTGGCCTGCCGCAAGTCTCTTAAACTACTCCTACTGACATAAAACACGCGTAGCCAGATCAAAGTCTGAACAATGAAGCCGAACCACCGGTTGGGGGCCGGTTACCAGGGCCTCCGGGTCACACCGGTATTTGGGCGGGAAATGGCCAACTTTTCCAATCATGGCCCAGCTCCCGGCCACACAGCCCCTGCAATTATTCTAGGGAATCTAGGGGTCCAAATTAGGGAGCAACGGGAAGTCATCCCAGACAGAGGACCACCACGTAGCAAATTACCGGGGTCTCCACTCGAAGTTGTGATGCCAAACAACCATCAAACTTTGGGTACTGGACTGTTAGCGGGGGGGATACTCAAAACCGCGTAAGGTTTACTTCACGGCAGCCAGAAGGTCACAAAAGCCCGATATTTTCACTCTATGTTAGCCGAATTTTAAAGATTTCATTCGATAGAGCATCAAAAAAATCTGCTTCGACTTTTAATTGCCGCCCAAAACAATATAACATAAAAAAGCTATGCCAAAAACAAACGAAATCTTTGTAACATGTCAAACAATAAATTGGTTAGTCATAAATTTTAATATCTGTTTCTACTTACGTACTTTATCTATACTTTATTACTTCACTTTATTATTGATATTTTTCGGTTAAAAATGTATATGAATAATTGGCAAAAGGGTAAAAACTCCTAAAATAATTTTCATAACTTTCCAGTAACCGAAAAAAATAACTATAATACATGATATACTGTCAACAGGTATTTAGGCGAAACACACAAAGATTAGTCCCCCCCGCTAACAGCCCCGTACCCAAAACCGGGACCCGATTTTACACAATATGTTTACAGCCGCCAGCGTGTGACAAGCGTTCGGGGGGCGAGCGTCGTAGGATTCACACGCTATCCGGACGCTCAAAACTCCAAAGGGGGAATTTGAAATAATTGGGGGAATTACGTGAATTAATGGGCGCTCTCATCCAAGAATCGCGTACTTTTGAATAATCGGAAAATTGGACACCGCTGGGAATCAGCAACACGGAGGAAAACAGGGACCTTGAAAACAGGGAAAAGAGCGAAGTTCGTGCACTTTTCTAAGAAGAAAATGATAGAAGATCTTCTTATAACAACATCGCGTTTCTGCCGAATTTTGACATTGAAGTGTTCCACTATTAGCAGGGGGGGGGGGTAATTTTGTTTTCCCAAATATTCTTTTTTATAATAGATAAGGTATTTTTACAGTTTTTCCAATAGTTCTTAATTGCTAGAAAGCTATAAAAAAAATCAAAATTTCCGAAAAACCGAGTAAACTAACTTCTTTTTTCGCTGACCTTTCGATAATGTCGAAGATATTTTTACCGTGGTTTGAGTAATTTTTGATTGCTAGAAAGACATCTTTTTTTAAAACGCTTCGAAAAGTTGAAAAAACTTTTTTTGGCCATTTTTCATACATTTTTTAACAAAACATTTATAAAATATTTCGAAATTTTTTATAGTTTTATGCGCTTTTCAAATCTAAAAAATGCTTAAAGTCTCATAAAAATTATTTATTTCGTTATTATAGAATCGTAGCGGATTAATCGTATTGGCAAAATCTGCCCCCCCCCCCCGCTAACAGCCTAGTCCTTTCGTTCACGTGAAGTTAATAGATCCGCAGAGCTAAAAAGCTACAAGAGCCGCGCAAATATCCTCCAAAGTCCCTCAACAAAAGCGAGTGTTCTATTTTCCGGTTGGCACTCCGGATTGCCGTCAAATATTCACACAACGCTACAAAAAAAAGTCGCAGCGCCTCGGCGGGACGGCACGTCAATAAACGACGAGGCGGATAATTTGTGGGACGCGCGCGGGCAGGAATTCGGAATGCCGCATTTCGGGGGTTGAACGACGCGGAAAGGATGAGGAGACGAATCTCGGATGGGTGGAGAGAGGCACCAAGAATGGGGATTAATTACCTGTGCCTCCCTAACAATCTGCTGAAGCAAAACAACAAAAGCAGACGCTGAACGGCCGGATTGTAAAAAAGCAGCTAGAAGGTGTGGTACAGAAAAAAATCGGGCCTGAAAGCGTTTGTTGGCGTTCAAAATATAGCATGCTTTCGTAGCTTGAAGCCTTTCTGAAGCCGGAAATTAAGAGGGACGAATTATTTTTCCGCAAAATTCCCCAGGGGACAAGCCCGAATTCCAAAGCTCGGGTATTTCTAAAAGTACTGAAAAAGCTGCGTCTGATTTCAAGTCACTAGCTATTCATTTCTAGCCATTTATCGATCGCTAAAACGCTTCCAAACGGAGTAGGATGCGCATTGCTACCGTGGATTTATCAGAAACCTAATTTCCAACGCGCTAAAGGGTACTGAACTGTTAGCTGGGGTAAAACGCATGTTTGTTTTTCATCTCTATTGCTAATAGTTACTGTATTTTCAAAATGTTTTCGTAGTATTTGATAGCTAGAATGTTAGACCAAACAATTTAAACACTTTTGAAAATTCGCAAATTTTGAGCATTTGTGATAGTTTTTCAGGTGCTTCCAGGTTATCGGGGGGCGGTTGCGAATTTTTTTCTATAATTTCGTGCGGCTCGACTAAACAAAAGTTTGCCGTTTTTATACGGCAAACTTACTTTTTATACGCTGTTTACGTGGTATTGGACTGTTAGCGGGGGAACAGAAATTAAGAAAAACACCATAAAATATGATGCAAATTTTGAATTTTTGGTCTAACGCGTATGCAATTGGTTAAAAGCGAGCTAAAACCCTAGATTTTGCGGCTGTCGGATAAATGTTTTCATAATTTTTGGCTACCAGAAACTATGAAAAACATTGTTAAAACAACCTACACTTTATCACTAGGCAAGTATAGGCTAAAGTATTGGCTATACAAAGAAAAGTTCGCAACCGCCCCCGCTAAAATAACCGCCCCCCGTTAACCTGGAAGCACCGTTTTTCATACATTTTTAATCAAACAATGAAAAATTTGCAAAAATCTCGATGTCTATATCAGTTTTTTACCTAAAAGGGTATAAAATGCTATAAAAAATTGTTTTTTTTTTGTAAAACCGTACAGGATGAAAGAGACAATGAGCTGCCCATTTCTAAAGCTTAATCTACCATCTTATAAATATTCCCACGCGGAACCGGCTGCGCGTTGCTATTTCAGATATCCAAAGGAAAGGTGTTTTCTAGGCTCAAGCGCTCGGCTCATTCCCCCCATCACGCCTATACGTGGCACGGACTAAATTACGGAAATCTCATTACGCGGAAAGGTGCCGAGAGGCTGCGGGAAAGTTAGAGGGGGAAATTGCCCGCAAACCACCAATTTGCCCTTGCCGCTTTAACCTCGCCGAAGAGGGCGAGGGGGGTCGAGGCGGATCTCCGGAATTTTGAAGTAGCTAAAAAATCTAGGTACTTAGATTGATTGGTAATTGGAGATTTGATTTGGGATCAAGCCCCCCGATGAGAGGCTATGATTGACCTGGAAGCAATAACAAGGCAATGCTCGTCCAGGAAAACGTTCCCTGGAGAACACCCTAATTGGGCCATAAAACGAAACAAAAAGGCAAAGCGCTCAGGGAACGGTGGCTATGACAACAACGAAAAAAGGAGTCATGCGCATTCACAATGAACCGTTCGTTTTCATACAGTGAAAGTGAATAAAAAGAAAGCAAATATATTCACCAAAAAAGTTAAATTCGAATTAAAAATAACGAAAAAAGCACAATAAAAAGTTTATTTTTATTTCAGAGCGCTTTCCGACACGCGCCACTTTACAGTAGCACGTAGGCGGTGTAATGTGGAACACGGAACATCGAATTTGCGCGGAAATTTTCAAATCGTTATTTCGTTGAAAAACAAGTTGTTCAAAAAATTTCCTTTATCATATTTCACAGATTTTTCTAAACAAGTATTAATTTTCCATTTCCAGGCAGCAGCGAAATGTCCAGCCCGGCAGTCGAAGCCCTCGCCCGCGGCCTCAACAAAGGCTTCCACGCCACGAAGCTCGAACTGAAGGCGCAACAGAGCCGCAGAAAAGGAGTCAAGTCGAAGAAAGCTGTGGTGCGTTTTACGGTTAAACTATTTTCTGCGTTTCGCGCCGGAATCTTTGTTCGTTATATCTGTGTGTTTTTTTGTTTAGGCAGTGCGCGAGCTTGTTCGAGAAATCGGTGGCTTCGCCCCGTATGAACGCCGCGCCATGGAATATCTGAAGATCAGCAAGGACAAGAAGGCGCTAAAGTTTTTGAAGAAACGTGTTGGAGGCCACGGTCGTGCCAAGAACAAGCGGGACGAGCTCCAGGACGTGTTGATCGCCATGCGCAAGCACCACAAATAAATGCACGACTTGTTTTTGTTTGGTTGTTTTGTTGAATAAATATTAACCGTGCTGATTTGTTAATTGTTTGTCCGGCGTTGATCGCAAATAATTACCAAGCTTTTCCTCCAGAAACTAGATTATTTTTTCTTTAGTGGGATGGCATCGTCTACCACACGGCTTCCAGCTCGGATGGCACTCGGTCTCGGGATGTCGCTGCTAGCTGCTCTAGGCCCTGCTTTCGCTCTACTCTACGTCCTCAACCAGCTCTATCCCGAAAGCCCAAGCTTCACCTCCAGCAGCGAGATCCCCTACCTGATACTCTATACGATTTTGGTAATATTTCGGCTGGTTATCACAGTTTTTGTTTTAGGCTCCCACTCATCTTGTCGTTTCCTGGATCTTCGTCATGGCTTACTCGGATTTGGCCCTGCCCTTTGTGATGCGCTCGCTCGAAGTATTGGCCAGCCATCATGTTCAGCATCACCCTCACGGACATGTTCAACCATCCAAGGATTCTCATGATGAAAATCAGAACCAGATCAAAAACTGAATGCGGTAGTTTGTCTAATACCTTGCTAACTTGTGAATTTGTGCCAAAGATAAACTTTTTCTTGAGATCAGGGGCTTTGGAATTGGCTGATACTAGGGGCGGGTAATTGATAAAGTTGCTGTTGAGTTAGCTTTACTCACGGCGCTGCGAGGTTGAGGTTTTATCGACTGTTTCGAACACAAGACGGCGGCCGTAATTCTTCTCTAGTGACTTTCCCCTAAAAGCGCCCGCAGGAGGAGGAGGAGGAGGTTGGGGGGTAGATGCGTATCTGTACTCGCCCGGCAGGAAAAAGGCTGCGTCGGGGATTTTCAGGATTTTCGTCGGGAGGGTCTTGTCCTATATTGTTTCTCATTGGGGCACCCGATCCGATCCGCCTCTGCTCCTTCTCTTTGTCAGTGATTGCTGCCGTTTTTTTGGTCCTCCCAACCATAGTGGGGGTCATCGACCCACTCACCCACCGGCCACACACAGATTTCACTTTTTTCACACTTTCTGTCCCAATTAGGGTGTAGGCATTCCTTGAGGAGCGGCTTTTCAAACGCTGGAGGTGCATTATGGTTTTTGGATTTAGTAGAATGAAACATTGAGGTGGCTATTGTCTTTTTCTTCTTTTTCACGTCTCCTGAACGGCTTTTTATGCTTTTTTTCACTACACAGGTTCGGGCATTCCTCCCTATTTTAGCGGATGTATGGCCCGGTGCCGCTCCTGATCCTGACGCTAGTCCGGTTTAGCTATACCGCCGTAAGATTCTGAAAGTTGAAAATAGCTAGCATTTTGCTTTAGGAGCCAACAGCAAAAGTTTTTACGGCCACTGGCCCGAATGGGGAGCCGGCACAATATTTGCTCGTGCCAGATGCCAGCTCACCCACTGGCTCCCGGGCAATTCCGGTCGGGCCTTCGGGGACATCTTTGGTAATTATACCCACAAACTTTCTTTTATTACCTTGGCATGAATGTCTTTTTATTTCTAGTCTCCCACCACACCGATCCCTACCACCGGGATGCCTACCATTAGCCTGCAAGCCCTGATGGCGGCGATCGGGCCGCAGACCGGAAACAAGGTGCAGCTGGATTTGACGAAGTTGCATCTTCATGGCATTGATTTTGCCGTGAATGGTACTGAAGATGCAAGTGATGCCAAGTCGTCTGAAGCTCCTTCTTCAACACTGGCCCCGTACACACGACGTCCGTTTGCCGGGCGGACCAGGGCCACGGTGGCGGTGCCCTTGGTGGAAAACGAGCAGGAGCTGGTGAAGATGGCCGTGCCGAAGTCGAGTGAGCGGTATCGTAGGCGGAAGCCATGGAAAAGGGGCCATGCTGGTACGGCACTGCCGATCATAGCTGATAATGTAAGTTAGAAATAGACTGCTTTGTGTAAGATAGGCTGTTGATTTTGGGCTTTTAGGGAGAAAAGCTTGTTTCTTAGGATCCAATTTTTGCAATGTAATTAAAGAAGGCGTTTCTACACTGTTTATTATGATTTTCAAGGTCAAACACCTTACAAAATTTGGTTAAAAAGACTAAAAATATAGAGATTTTTCGCGCAAACATGGCTTTTTTCGAGCAACAGTTCAGATTTTGGTTTAAACATTTGGTTTCGGTAGCTTTCTCTCTTAAAACATAGTTAAATTGTATTAAATCGTTAGTAACATATGATCTATGACGCTACTGGGCTTGTATGGCTTCAGAAAATTAGATCCGCGCTGGCAATACAAAAAACCCCAACTTCAATCTCGAAATTTTAGGAAGCCACGACAACAACACTGGCGCAACCCAGTTCTACGACCGTTGTAAGTAACTTCCCAGTAAAAAACTCGGTCATTACTGATCTTGCACTTTGCGACGGCATCATCGGAATCCCATTTCAGCCACAACCGACCAGGATCGAGATCGAGCCGAAGAAGCGGCAGCCCGACAGCCCCCAGGTCAGATCCATATCGTACCGGTCCGGCCCAGTTCCTTCAAGTGTCGCTTTCAACCCTCGCTTTTTTGGAAACCGGATGGAAAGGGAGAGCCGCGGGGGTGACAGGGGCTGGATTTGAAAATTTAGTAGTAGCTATTGTAAAAATAAAATTTCAGTCATCTCCAAAATGGAGGGCCCTCGAGTCCGGGGAAATGACGGCGATGGGCGATTTTTTGATCGCGAATGGCAAATCGAAGAAGGCAGGGGTAATTTTTGGGACCAAGTAAATATAAAGGTACTGGACTGTTGGCGGGGACTCTTTGTTTTTTTCGCCTATCCGTGTTGATAATATACAGTGTATTTTTATAACGTTTTTTGGTGATTTTTGATTGGGAAAAAGGTTCAAAAAATCTAAAGAACCTTGAGGAAAAATCTAAAAAATTGTGCTAATTGCTGTAAAAATTTGGGTCCCCTCGCTAAGATTCCAGTACCGCAAAATTTTCAGTTTTTGTATTGTTATCTTTTAAACGTAACTTTAGAAAATTCACCCATCACTGAGGACAACCGTAGGCCCACGTTATGAGACGACTGTTGTAGACGAAGTGCGTGACGACGGTGGGATTGTTTTTTACGTATTTTCCGCATCGTTATAAATATAGTACTAAAAGAAAATTTAGATTTTACAACACCTGCTCCCACCACAACTTCATATCGTAACCGGATGCCGGTCGTTTTGGAGGCGCTCGAGCCGACAAACAACTTCCTCGATCGCCAAGTTAATGCCATCGTGCAGCAGATGAATTCGAGAGTTTATAATGGTACCACCATGGCTTATCCCATCACACCCGAGGACGCTACGGCCGAATCAATCGTGCAGGAATTGAAGGTACGTCCGGGTTCTTGCGCATTATTGGGATGGGGATATTTTCTTTAGGATCCAATGGTTTTTTTTTTTTGATTGATTTATTTGCGTAACGAGGCGCCATTGCACATGCAATGAGTCATTTCTTAAATAGCGGGAGTGTTTCTAAACCGTTTTTACTGCTTCTAGTCGTTAAAATTGTGCGCATTTTTTAATACATAAAATCTCGATTTTTCGACGCAAAATTTCAAATTTGTGGTTTTTAAAAGTTTTTAGATAGTTTCCCCCCTTGAAATATAGCTAAAATTTAATAAGAAGGCTATCAAAATGCCTACTATTACGTTAATAAGCATCCTGGATTGATGCAAGAAGCAAAATGAGAACTGTCGATTTTCAGAACGCCTTTTTCCCTCCTCAAATCAAAGCCAGCCCGACGGAAATGACGGCCCTCCGTGAAGCTGCCAGATTAGGCACCTCTCCAACCCCGGTCCACCCGGAAATCCGAAGGTGGGCTTTGTTTGAGTATTGATTCGGATAATTCTTAGGACCCCAAGTCGAAAAGCCGATTCCGCCACAAAGCCAGTTACGACCGTTACTCCAAAGGAAAAGTCGCGAGCAGATGCGTCAAAAACGTTGGTTGAAATGTATATAACGGAAAAACCGTTTAGGCTGCACATCCCGGCCAAGGCGCCCAAGCAGGAGGAGCCTAAGAAAGCAACGTTGAGCCCCGAAAATGCGTTACTGGCTTTTCTCGATCGGTGAGTAGCCATCTATATTTTGGCCGAGGATTTCATGATGCTGTGCGGTTATCGGGGGGGGTTAGGGCGAAAACAATTTTTCCGATTAATCTCGTACGGCTCGATAAATAAATATAAATTATTTTAGCCGATCTTCAGATATGCTTTTTTAGATACAAACACGTATAAACTAGAAAAGTGTCAAAATTTTAACTTTTCGGCCTAATTTTTATGAAAAAAATGCAAAACAGCCCACATTTTCACGGTTTCAAAAATGATCAGATTTTGTTGTAAATTCCTAGCCATGCAAAAACTAATAAAAGAAACTATTAAATACCGAATACCTTAGTAACCGATAGCCGGGGAAAACAGAAGTTGTCCCCCCGCTCAAAAGTTTGCACCCTTTGAGGAATGCCGTTTTTCTCAGGAATCCCCTTGACATCTACCGCGCAAAAGATGAGGAATCGACCACAGAAAAGGTTAGTTATTTAAAAAAATAACAAAAATAATTAGATCTTAACGACGACGGCAAAGACAACGACTTTTATCACAACTCCAAAACTAGATACGACAACTCCAGCTTTGCAAATCGATTCCCCGGTTTATAAACAAGAAAAGGCAGAATTCAAAATAGCTGGATTGGATGGTGGAAAGCCATCTGAATGGAAAGAGGTTACTCGAACTTTTTGGTCTAAAATACCAAATTTAGAATGCCGTATCCTCCAAGCAAAGACACTACGGCATGGTGGCTGCCCCGATTAATTTGAGGCGACTTCGCAAGAAGAGACTCCGTGCTGGCCGCAGGTTGACCAGGAGGGATCGGCGTCGACCGCAGCAAACCAAAGTCCGTTCGGCGTTTTTGAAAAATTATGCTTTTTAGAGAAATTTCCGACAGACGGCAAAATACCAGATGAACGACGTCAAGACGAAGGTGTTCCCAAGGGTACGTTTCTTCTTTTGCGTTATGCGGGGGGCGGGGCTTACTGTAACCCTCTTTTGGTCGAAGTGGAAATTCCGTACGTGAGATAGCACATCTTGTGCAGAATTTTTTGCTGATTCCGAATCCGTTTTCAAAAGTTGCGGAACCCCTCAGATTAAAAAGTTACAAGCGTTTTTAATACCCAAAAAGCCACAAATCGCTTACTTTAAAACGTTCTAAAAATTCCGTAAGATACTTTTGAGAGGAAAGTAACATGGGCTGACCTTGGTCTTGGGAGGACCCTTGCCCAAGATGGTCGATTTTCGAAATTTTCGAAATTTTGAGCTACGGGTTTGTGAGATAGCCCATTCGAAAGAGCACGTTTTTTTACCCCGGAAAATATCTTACTTTCCTCTCAAAAGTATCTTACGGAATTTTTAGAACGTTTTAAAGTAAGCGATTTGTGGCTTTTTGGGTATTAAAAACGCTTGTAACTTTTTAATCTGAGGGGTTCCGCAACTTTTGAAAACGGATTCGGAATCGGCAAAATGTTCTGCACAAGATGTGCTATCTCACGTACGGAATTTCCACTTCGACCAAAAGAGGGTTACAGTTAGGCTCCAAAAATGCTTGACGAATCTAGAATTAAGCGTTTTAATAAAATTTAACTAGATTTAAAGTGAAAAACTATCCAAAAACGAGATCTAAAAATGGCTAAAAGTTGCCGAATGTTAATTTTAGAATTTTACAATTACATTAAAAATTAAAAAAATTATTTGGAAAGACAAAAGAAACGATAAAATATTCTAGAAACCCGCGGCAACGCTGGACGGTGATACAGATCAGCCAAATCCGGTGCTGACCAGACCTCAGACTCAGAATTACCAGGTTGGCTTCAGATAGACACCTTTAAAAAATGTATTTAGCCTCATCCTGAACCGAGAAGGCATCTAGAAATGACGACACCACATCCCAAAATTTATACCACGCATCCTTACATGCTGACAACCTCGTATACCCCAATTCCGCTCCTGCCGCCCACCACCAGCGGACCGGCAAAGGGTAGTGTTGCGTAGCTTTCTATGATAATAGCCAGAAAATTTAGTCGAGCCGAAAATTCGAATATCTCCCGAGCTTGGGCCGAAACCACGGTTTCCGCATAATGTTATCGGTGGGTGAAAAATTACCAACTTTTAATAATCATGCGAATTTTGCAGGTCCAATCCCTTTAGAGCAGCCAGGAAAGGGCAACAAAAGTGACAATACTGTTTTCGATCTGTTCCGAGAAGCCTTGGAATATGTTTTGGATCCAAAGGTACAATTTTGCTTTGAACTCCTAGCGGGGAGGGGGATTTTGGACCATTTTAGATACGAAAACTACCTTAAAATGTTTAAAATTTTACTTTTTTACGTTTTGGTCCCTTACAAAAGGGGAAAAAGGACACAAAAAGTCAATTTTTCAGTATATTGATAATTTCTAGCAAATGAAAACCTCCTAAAAAAGGCCTTTTTCGGCCTCGACAAAGGAGATTATATATTAATAAGATGTGTAGGGGGAAAAGAAAAATTAGCCCCCCCCCCGCTAACAGTCCAGTACCGAATTTTGTAAGCCAAAAATCGATTAACAATATTTTGATTCCAGAATTCAAAGGAAAAATCGGACAAGCCCCGTGTGCAGCAGTTGAAGCGGCTGGACGCGATTCCGGATCCGAATCTCCGATGGTCCGAGGGATCCCCGGCTATTGGAGGCCTGATGGCGCTCAGTAATATGTAAGTAAATACCGTAGCTTTTCATCCTGATTTTTCAGCCTAATTCACCCCTCAAATCGACACAAGGCGGCCGGGCAGAATTCTGGGTAATTTAAAGACTTGAAATCGATATGGTTCCATTTTAAGAATCGGTTTCTCGAAGTTGTCGATAAAACGACAGGAGCCGGCCTTGAAGCCGGCCAAGTTACCAAAGTCGAACTTGGATCTGGAGATGGTAGGGAATAACTCAAAAATTGCAAAAATCTGAGTTTTTAGGAGGAGCTGGCCGACACGATTTCTCGGCTTGATCAGCAGCAGCTAAATAGCAATTCGGTTGGTTGTATTATCATTGAAATACAGAAAATTTATTTCGAAAATTATGGTTTAGAACGGCCCCTTAGCAATCAAATAAGGGTTGACATTGTTTTATAGATTTTTAAGGTGCTTTTGCTTTAACGGGGGGGGGGGATAAAGGATGTTTTATTGTTGCTTTTAGCACGATCGACCGTTTTTAGCCGAAAAATCGAAATAGTTTGTATCTTTCTCATAAAATTTTACGTTTTTTACAATTACCTTTACGTTAATTAAATTTTACCTAATTGAAATTACGTTAAAAAGAGAAGCTAAAAACTAAAAAGTTACGTGAAAATTGCTTAAATAATAAAATTAGGAATTGAAAAACCTTTTCAGATCCAAATCTTGAACCCGACCGAGGATCAGCCGTACTTGATCGATTCGCGCTTTTAAATCGACGGGTTTTGTCTATCATTCCATTTCGATCATTCCCTCCTTCTGTCTTTCATTCGGGTCGTTGTTGTTATTTGTTCAATTTGTGTGCCAATAATAAACTAAATAATATAAATAAAAATGTTTTATTGCAAAGTCTAAATACAACCCGAATTATGCAATGACGGCACGTGCGAGAGAGAAAGAGAGGGAGCGAGAGAGAAAGAGAGAGAGAGAGAGAGAGAGAGAGAGAGAGAGAAATGGCGGTGGAAGACGCAGGCTAATGACTGGCAGGGACAAAATAGTAATTTCAGAAAACAGGTTCAGGTTCGTTAGCGGGGGGGGGACACACAAGCACCCCCGCCAGAACAAAAACGGAAGCCGATGGAATAAAGGAAAGCTGGCGAGTTGGCAGCTATACACTGCAAACGGCATGAGGTATCGAGGCGGAATGGTACAGACTCGGAACGGCAGGAAAACGTTTTGATTTATGTACATTAACAAAAAAAAATTTAAATCGAAAAAGCAGTTTTCAACTTTGCACGGTTTTTAAACGGCGTTTTTTGGCAGCGGGCTGGCAGTCCTCCGGAAATTTGAGCTGAAAATATGGGATTAGTATGCTTTTCCATTTTTTTTGGGTATTTATTTGGTTCTTTTGCGTTATCGGGGGTGGGATATGGGCAGATTGTTTGTGGAAATCTAAAAAAAGCCTAGCAAACGTTTTAATAATGTTTGTTAAAAGTTGGCCACATTGCAAGTCGAAAAACTATCTAAAGAACATATGAAGTTTTGCAATTTTGGTCAAAATTAAGCTTTTTTATAGAGTTTTACGAGGAAAATTCGTAAGTCTTTTTTTACAGTTATAACTAGTTAGAACGTGTTTAGAAATAGTCTGCTATTTACAGTGGAGCAATTGGATCCTAAGGAAAAAAGTTGGCTAGCCCCCCCCCCCGCTAACGCGAAAGCACCCGTATTTTATAGCATTGATTTATACGTTTCATAACTTTTGGTATAATGTCAAGTATACTACGTTTTATAACTCACCTCAAGGCATTCGGCTTCAAGCACGGGAGGCGCTTCGAAATTCTCCTGGGATGAGGGCGTTGATTTGTCGACGAGCTCGATAAGCTAAAAGAATAGGGGGTTTTTGGATTGCTTTCCGGTTTGAATTAAAAACATAGATAAAGAAGAAGACTTGTTTTTCATGCCCCTACCTCGACTCTTGCCATGCCACAACCCAGCGGAAACAACCGCTCAATTTCGCGGAAAATGGCTGCGACACCGTCGACTTTTCTGACCAGCAGGAAAAAGGGGCGGCGTTGGACGATGTAGTCCCAGACTGGTGATTCTTTCTGAAATAATTTCGGCTATTTTAGAAATTGCAGAGATTTATATGAAGTATCTTATGCTTTTAATACAAGCAAAAAGGAAGTACCGGTTGTTTTTGTATTTGTAGCCCGGAAAAATCCGCTAAATACAACAGAATTGAAAAATTGAAATTAAGCGGCAGCAAGTAAAACGCTGCCATCTAACGTTTACATTTTATTTTCCCTTTCCTTCAAAATAACCCATATCGTTTTGGAGGATAAAAAAAACTTCAAAATACCGCCGAATAACCTACCCTCATTTTGGCAATTTTCCGTTTCCGCTTCTCGCGTGCGTCAATTTTCGGCGCCGGCGGAGGGGGTGGAGGAGGAGGAGGTGGAGGTGTTGGCTTGGAGGTGTTCGCTGGAGAAAAAAGGATAAATAAAATCAGAAAAATAAATATTTTTTATAAAGCCTTAGCTCCCATGCATTAAACAAGATAATCATTTTCAAAATATAAAATTTAACGTACCTTTCACGGGCAATTCCACCGTTGCCGGAAACTGGATAGGCCTCGGCGCGTTAGCGCTGGAGATCGAGGCGATGGAGAAGGGCATAAGAGGCTGAAAAATCAAGATATTAATACATTAATAAAATAATTAAGGCCAACTTGGTAAATGCAAAATTTTAGAATGCAAGAAAATCTACTAGGAAACCTGAAAAAGTCGAAAAATCGGATCATTTTTTGATGTAGCGAAAGGCTACTTGCGCAAAAATTTTATCCAGGTTAAATTGTATCCAAAAACCTCTTTCACTACTTCCTCGTTCCTTTAAGATTACTGTATTCGTTTTGTGATGCCCCGAAATGACAGTGCAACCCCGGGGGTGGCCTGCTAAATTCCGGCCGACCCAGCTGATAAGGGTGGACACGGGGCATCGAATTATCAGCAAATAGACGCTGGAAGAGTGTATTAAAGCTATGGTAGAAGGTCGCCGCTTTGGAAATTGATGGAAAGCTATGCGAAAAATCCGTCTTAAACAATAAAGCTATAAAATAAAATACTATAAAAATTATATGCTTTTATATCAATAGATAGATTTTAGATGTGTAATTATAAACTATAAAACTATAGTAAAAACCTACATTAAATGGCATCTGATAGGGGAGTGGTGGCATTGGGATTGGCGGAGCGAACAGCTTGGGGAGGGCGGTTGAGGCGGCGGAAGAGTGGGGCGGCAGTTGGGCCAACATTTGCGAGAAGAACGGGCCGTTTGGGTTGTTGGTCAGCAACTAAATATGGAAGTAATAGTCATAAAAGCAAAAACGATAAACAGGCGGAAAAGCAAAATAGGATGCGCTTTCCAAAAACGCGTCGAAAAAGCCGAGTAATCGTGTTTTTTAGATACTAGTTTCTCTAATTATGTGCTTTCCCGGTAATTTTAATTTATTTTAAGATCTTTATATGTTTAAAAACCTTACCGCGCCTTTCTTAAAATATAGAAATTCCAAAAATGTTTAGAAAAACAGGAAGTTTTTTGACCTTTTTTGATGACGCCAAATGCTATTTCCATTTTCCAAAAATCTTGAAAACTAGGTAAGCTCTGAAACCCTTAAAAACTCATAACTCTCTTCTGAAAAGTGTACTTCCTTTTTCTATTTGCTTAATACAAAACTGGAACCCCTAAAAAATGTTGAAAACTGCAAGCAAATACTTTTCGTGTATTTTTTCCAGCTATTCAACCCTTAAAAAAATCTTAATAACCCACCGGCGGCATCGGGAATATTTGCTGGTGTATCGGCGGGGCCGGAAGTGGCAGTGGATATTTTTGGGGTGTCGGATTTGGGGTTGTTGGGGAGGTGGAGGTGGTCGACGCCGTCGAGGTGGACGGCGCCGGGGAAGGGCATCGCTTCGGCGGCGCTTCCTGGGCTGGGGGAAGATCTGAAAAATCAGATAAACAAATCTTAAAATTAGATTAAAAAAAATTTACTTTTATTTATAAATAAAAAATACGCCTTTAAGGTCGAAGTGAGGCAATTAAAAAAACACCTTTGTCCAAATCCAACGGCCCCTGCGGCTCGACCATCAGCAGGAAAAAGTCTTCCGGTGGGTACATTGCATTCCTAGAAAAGAACAACAATATTAAAAGACGTTTCGATGACAAGGTAGAGATGTAAAAAGAATGATGAATTTGCCGTTTTTTTCGTTATCGGGGGGGGATTTTTGTAGAAAAATCTGTCGTTTTGCTTGCATTTTTGATAAAATTTGCAAAGTTTATACATTTAGAAGTAGTAAAAACAGTTTAGAAACACTTCTTTGATGCGTTTCGGAAACAGGGGTCCTAAAGAACAAAAACTCTCCCCCCTGATAACGCGAAAGCACCGAATTATGCAAAGTAGAAAGTCTGAGGTATAACAGGAGGTAAATTTAATAAAAATAATGTTACCACCGTGTCAAGAGTAAAATTCGGAATTTTGCCGCTTAAAAGTATCGGCATACTTTAACTAATGAAATGACCAGCCATCGAAACAGTATTATAGCCGGGCAACAAAAAGAGGGGCGGTGTATGAGGCAGCCCGGGGGGTGGGGAATGACGGTTTTTCGAGGGAGATAAAGCCTTATCTGGGCGAATGGAAGGGTGGAAAGGCAGAGTGAGAAGGACGCTACGCCCCTATGAACAGTCGAAGATAACGCGTTCAAACAAGGGAATGGGCAGTGGGGAAGACACGGTAGGGGCCACAGAACTGCGCCAAGGTTTGGAGGATTACGGGGCTGGGAAGGGAAGAAATTAAGAACTCTGGAAAGAAAAAAGCCGAGTTTAAAAAATTAATGGTTATTAAAGGGATTGGCAAGGCTGATCTTTAAGGCACTGAAAACACCAGAAATGGCGAAATGGCTGCAAATATCGAGGTAACAAAATTTTTGAAAGATAGCGACAGTAAGATAGAGCGAGAGAAAATTTGAGAGAGCGCGAGAGAGAGCGAGAGAGAAAGAGAGCGCTCGAGAGACAGAAAGAGAGAGTGAGAGAGAGCGCGAGAGCACGAAACATCCAAATTTTAAATCCCAACATTGTCTCTAATTATTCGTTTTAAAATTTGGCGCATCAAAACAAGGCGATGGTTTGAAGAAAGCGCGAGATCGAGTGAGAGAGAGCTAGAGAGGGAGAGAGAGATAGAGAGAGAGACAGATATTTTCTACATTTTTCTACGAAATATCCTTCTTTTTCGCCATTTTTCCAGCAATCGAATCCAAAACTATAAAATTCTCCCCGAAAATCGTTGCCCTTCCCGGAATATTGTGACACATAAATGTTTTGTCTCCACGATCCGAGAGGCCGCGATGACGACACAAAATCATGAGCTACTTCTCTCGCCCGGCCCAAAAGTACAGTACCCCCTCTTCAGAATAGCCTATTTCGATTTTAGCAAATGTCAATGGACCTCCCCCCATCCGGCTAATGGAGGGTTTCGTTGTCGTCGTGGCGGGACCCCGAGTGGTAGTGGTGGTGGGGGGTGAATGGGGCCCATTGTGGGCCCAGCTGCCCAGGAGGAGGGGCCCACACAACCAAATATCGTAGCGTTTTTTGGTGGGATTGGATGTGCGCGCGAGGGGAGTCGATTTCTGCACCGAAGATTGCCGGCTTGCAGGGTGGTGCGTAGTTGGCTATAATTTGGGGGGTAGCGGGGCGCTAAAATTAGGGCTATTCATGGTGATAACGTAATTAGATTCGGTCGTGCCATTTTTTACCGTAGCATTAAAAGTAAAATTTAGAAGAGCTTTTGATGAAAGTTAGGTTTAAAAAAGTAAATTTATGTATATACAAAAGCTATAAACTTTTTAGAGGGACGGAAATGTAAGGGGAAAACGCCAAAAACTCGGCAGCCATAATGCCGACAACCGAAATCGCAACTTGCGCATTCAAACTAGACTATCGGTATTTTGCGTGTTGGTAGCATCACTGCCGAGATTTCGGTTGTCGGTATTATGGAAGTCGGCATTTTGGCAATCGGGAGCATCAATCTAGGGACTTTGGCTGTCGGGAGCGCCGGGATTTTGGCCGGTCGGGATTTCGGCTGTCGGTATTTTCTTTCGGCGTTTTGTCTGTCGGTATTATGAACTTCGGGCTTTTGGCAGTCGGGGGAGCATCACCTTAGGAATTTTGGCTCTCGGGAGCATGATTGCCGGGTTTGTTGGCGGGATTTCGACTCTGGGTTTGGCCCTCCAATTTTTTTCGCGATTATGGCTGTCGGGGTTTTGGTTTCGGGATTTTCGCCACGGTCAATCCATAGGCCAGCCTTGCAAGTACCTTTAAAGGGCTGGTAAGGCAAATTTTTACATTATTTTGTAGCCTTTTCAGAACTATTTGTTAAATTTGGGGTTTTATGGTTCCTCCGCCAGCCAAATCCCAAAATAGTCCGACAGATTACGATAGCTTAATGCTCGAACTTGTTTCTGTTTTCCTGTCCCATCATGTAGCGAAGTTCAGCCCCCCCCCCCAATTTGGACGGGATTACCGTAGCCGGCGCTCGAGGACATTTGGCCTCAACGATCCATCCAACAGCCCCGCACACGGGCTGACAACCCGACAAGCGGATTAGCGGAAGAGAGAGAGAGAGAGAGAGAGAGAGAGAGAGAGAAAAGATCGGAATGGCGCTGGGAATGGGCGGAAAGGACAGTTTTTCGGATTTTTGGCGGCCGACGGGATGAAAATGGCATGCCCTTGTGGGGCGGATCGGTTCGCAGGATGCACGAAAAATGCTGGAATTTCCTGGTTTTCTTGCTGGCATCAGCCCTTGATTGATGGATTCCAAGATATAAATTTATACTAGCCAAAATCAGTCAATAACAAAAATTACGTTTCTTAGCCAAATGAGAAGCGGTCGAACGGCTCCAAAGCGTCGGTGGCTCGGCTTCAGCCCGATTCGATCCAAAATAAAGAAAGAAATTATAATCCCTCTATCTCGCCCTAGCTACGAAAGCCAAACGGCTCCAAGACGTTGGCAGAGCCTTTTTGGCAAGAATGAACCAGAAAACGGAAAACGCAAAAAATAAACAGCTAGAAAAATGTTTATCCACATGCAGCCGAACGGGTCCAAGACGTCGGCAGAGCCGCTTTGGCAAAAATGGGAACGGGCCGAAGACGTCGGCAAAAAACCGTTTTCAAGACAAAAGTAAAAAGAGGGAAGATCGGAATTTTGACAAAATGGAAAGCGCTGAAAACCAAACAAATGCTTATCCACTCAAAGTTGAACGGCTCCAAGGCGTCGGGAGAGTAATTTGGAACCATCTTTAGCTTCAAAACTCAAACTAAAATGCCGAAAATGACTTCTTCAAAAAGCACCAAAGAAAACTTACCTGCCAGCCAATTTTTTTGGAAACGAGAAAAGCTTTTTTTTTGGAAAGAAAAGGCAGCTTTCTGAAGGAGCAAAAACTCATCTACAAATCGACCTCAACCGAACGGCTCAAAGACCTCGGCAAAGTCTAGCCAAAGCCTCCAAAAGGAAAAACTATCAAAAATCAGCTAAAAATTTCCAAACAATGGGAAAACCAATTAGGAATGCAACTCTCCCACGAAAAAGTCACTCGAAAGAAACTCGGCAAGTGTACCCCAAGCATTGCCCGAAAAGCCTGAGGGGGGGGAGAAGGAGCACGGTGAGCACAGCTGGTCAGCGCCAAAATGCGCATCAATCATTTGTGTGAGTGTGGGAGAACGGACAGGATGCAAAAGAGGGAAAAAGAGGAAAAAGAGGGCGCACGGGTAGGGCGCTGCGCAAATATGGCCCCGGGGGGGGTACGGTACTCGAGTCGGCCTGGGAGGGATGGGGGGGATAATTACTGCCCTCTTGGCAAACATCCAGTATAAAGGATGGGGGAAGGGTTACGGTAGCTGGGTTGGGGGATTAATGGGGGTAGATGGGGTATCATTTTTCTTTTCCGGGCCACCCACCGGGCGCTAATCAAATCCGGGCCCCCGCCGCCGAATTGTTTTGTGGGCGGAATGGCTGGGAACTTGATAAAAAGCGGATAAAAACCCAAAAAAGGGAGATTAAAAGGGGATAAATAAACATAGCTTTAGATCCCGAAAATTCTAAAAACCTTGAGAGGAATGTATGTTAGATACCTCATAAAAACGCCGAAAAAGGGGACAAAAAACCATTTTAAAATTGCATAAATTAATCGAGGGTAATTAAGCAATTTTGTATACTTCCAGAGTAATAAGAGGAGAGAGAAGATAAAAGGCGCCAAAAATGCTGAAAAATGATAGGAATATTAGCTTCTTTTGCAGCATCGGGGGACCTATTTTTTCAGTAATTCCTAGTAGCGTAAAGTAAGCATTTAAAAAATTGTAGTAAAATTCTGCTATATTTTGACTGGAAAACTATCTAAAAACTTTCAAAAATCTCCAAAAATTCTAAATTTTGGTAAATTTTTCGACGAAAAATCCATATTTTTGTATCTCTTAAAAAATTGCAACGTTTTTTCAGTTTAGTAAAAATTTTTTAGAAGCATTTCCTCTATTTAGATAAAAAAGTAACAAGCTATATAAGTTAGTATCCAATCAGGATAATTTATCGATGCCAACCGATTCCCGGATGTCCAGGAAAGGGGGAATAGAACCGAAAAAGGAGAAATTCCGCGGGCGGACGCTGGGAGGAAACGCGCCGCCGCCGCGAGATTTCCCGATAGCAGGAGGAGGAGCACGGTAGGGAGGAAGAGCGGAGGAGGAGGGTGGGTTTTTGGGGGGATTGATGGGGTGCAAACGGGGGTACGGTACCACCGGGGGCAGGTGACCCAAAAATGTTGGTCGGAGATCCGTTTAGGGGCGTGCGGTCTGGACAACAACAAAAATGCCCTATCAAACCCACTAAAAGTCATAATTAAAAGTATAAATGATAGTCGAAAATTTAAAACAAGAAAAGCTTAACAAAAACAGTTGATTTAAAATCAATAACTAAAAAACTCGAAAAATAACGCTTTTAGAAAAGGAAAAATATAACACCTACTCCTAAAATCCATCCAGTTCTAAAGAAAACCACAAAAATTTAAAATATCAACATCTAAGGACCCTGAAACTAGAAAGTCTTCCCCAAAAATTGAGTAAAAAAACGGGCAAAC